ACCTTGCAACATTGCCTGTTTTCTCCTAGTTGGTTTTTTAATCTGATAGTATTACAGTAAGTAATGCCAAATTTGTCTGGAATACACTAAAAATAGTCATGTTTTAAAAATTGTTTGTGTTAGACATTTAAGGTCAATGTTGTTGCCAGTGTATAAGAAGATTAGTGAAAGAAGGCATCTGACCTGATAAATGTGAAAATAGCAAAGTTTTTAAATAGTTACTAATTATTGTTATTCTGAGCTGCATATGCTACATCTCTTATGCCAAGGCGTTGGTCTGACGTGTTCTATTTGTATTTTGCACTCTACTGTGTTTTCAGCCTGTAAGAAATTCATAGATTAATTTTCTCATTAGTGGTTCTCCAGATTTCCTCCTGAGGTTTGAAGTTCCACCTATGTTACAACACCTAATTATCTGTGCCTGGGTTGCATGTGGCCCTTGGAAAACTGTATGTGCCACAGTCACTGTAGCAATATAGGGTTGATACTCATTTTTTTTTGCCGCATATATTTAAGCAGAAGTGTGTGGGATTGAGTTCTCTTTTAAAGTCACATTCGTTGCCTGGGTTTTATGCAAAGTGCTGTGTGCACCTTCTTTCATTTCCTTTTATATGCTTACATAATAGACAAAATTTAGAAAAATTAGTCAAAGAGAACTAGTGAGACCGATTATGAAGCAAACAAGAAAACAGATCGGAGACTCTTCTATGGACTATCAGACAGATAGCAGAGAAAACTAAATAAAAATTTATATAGTGGGCTAAACACAAAAAGAATATTACATTCAAATATCCTCTTCAAATAAAATATGGAAGAAGGGGAATTAGGGGAAATTAAAGAGATGAGCTATGGGTTGATTTTTACTTATTTAGATCTTGATAGAATATTGTGTTTAAAAGAAGTAACTTTTGTTTTATTTTTATTTGTATAGTGCCAGTTAATGGAAGTTGTCAGGCTCCAAAAATCACTTTCTGTGAAGATTTAACTTTCCAGGCATGTTGAGGTTAAAACAATTTTGGTTCTTTCTTGACCATAATTTTAAAATTATTCTATAGCGTTTTCTAAATTGTAAATAAGGAGTAGATCTATGGCTGTTTCAAGTACGTAGGGATTAGGGAAGGTTAAGGGGTATAGCTGTAGGGGATTGGGTGCAGTCTGGATACTAATGGGACCCAAGTATTATCTTCAGTATTACACGTAAAAAGAAATCCTGAAAATAAAAAGACTACATCTCAATTACTTCATTTATTTTAAAAATTGGATACCACTACAGGTATTCATACTGTATCTGGAATTGTAGCAGGGCCTTGGTTTTTGCCGTGAAATGTCTGCTTATATGCAGAACTGCTCAGGAATTTCTTCCTGCCTTCCAAAGCTCACATAAAACTATCATATGATTTTGATACAAATTCATACTTGATTTTAGTAGGCACAGTGTCACTTTGTTCACATAACTGCCTTTGCTAAGTTCATTAGCTCTTGATTGCTTTCCACTCAGTCATGAAAGGCAGAATATCTCTGGAGTTTCTAAATGTTTTTGTCTGAAACTTTCTCAGTGAAGGTCCTGGCTTATTGGCAAATATTTCAATTTTGACTAAAAAACAAAATCAGAGATCTGTACAGGGGGACCAAATGTCATTACCGTTTGGAAAAAAATGAAGTTTAGAAGTCCTGTAAATATGAATTTGTTTAACCTGAAACGCTACTGATGCTTTTGAGGGAATAAAAACAAAAGTGTCTGATTTTAGCTTGTAGTAAAAAGCAGCATGAATTCTGAAATACTGTGTTATTGATTTGTTCTGAAGCTGAGTTGCAGAGAAATGCCACCCTGGCTCTTGGTGGAATAAATCCCAAAGTTGGCTAAAAGCTGCCTTCGGTTTCCCTGCTCGAAGGTAACTAGTGCTGAGGCTGAAAGACAAGAAACTGCGTGCTATTATATTGACTAAAGGTGCCCATTCTCTGCAGCAGCCTTCAAATACCTGTATTAACATACTGTGTCTAAAGATTGCAGTTAATTGGGTTGGTAAAAGTTAGTGTTACTGATGCAAGAATGTTCTAATGCTATGTAAGGTGCTGTTCTGTGCGCTTTCAAACCCAGGTGACACGCACACTTAAGAAAGATGCAAGTGAGGGCAGGAACTGCACTTCAGCTTTGAGAGACTTTTCTCATTCAACTTATTGAAGGAAGGTTTTTCTTGTCTGGATGATTTTGTAGGTCTCCATTGGTAGAGCAGCCATGTGGGTTTCTCTCTTTGTGCGCTATGTACCTGAGACTGCAGCTCTGAAATAGAGCTTTCATTGCAGAATTCCTGTCTCAGTAGCACAGGCAGGAGAAACAGTTTATAGCCCAAATGCCTTTTTAAAGTGGGGTGATGAGCAGCTTTCAGCCTTTAATCCTTCACTTACTCTACTTACTCCTGGTGAAGGCAAATGTCTAGCTGTTCTTAAATAAAGTAAGTGTGCTCATGTTTCTCCTCTTGAGCTAGACAGCATCCTTTATACTTGACTGGCTAACTAGTAGGCTCTCATCCCTAAGAGGAGTAAATGTTTTGCTGTTCCTTCTGTTGACTAATACATACCTCAGTGTGAAGTGTGTTACATTGGTTCTTATATTCTCTCTAACTCTGCAAGTTAGCAGACGTACGTAATACAAATTCCCCTCTACTCTGCCCTAGTGAGGCCCCATCTGGAGTACTGTGTCCAGTTCTGGGCTCCCCAGTTCGAGAAAGACGAGGAGCTACTGAAGAGAGTCCAGCGGAGGGCTACGAAGATGATGAGGGGACTGGAGCATCTCTCCTCTGAGGAAAGGCTGAGGGAGCTGGGCTTGTTCAGCCTGAAGAAGAGAAGGCTGAGAGGGGACCTTATAAATGCTTATAAATATCTGAAGGGTGGGTGTCAGGAGGATGGGGCCAGACTTTTCAGTGGTGTCCAGCGACAGGACAAGGGGCAACGGGCACAAACTGAAGCACAGGAAGTTCCATCTGAACATGAGGAAGAACTTCTTCTCTCTGAGGGTGACGGAGCCCTGGCACAGGTTTCCCAGGGAGGTTGTGGAGTCTCCTTCTCTGGAGATATTCAAGACCCACCTGGACGCGGGGTCCTGTGCAGCCTGCTGTGGGTGACCCTGCTTTGGCAGAGGGGTTGGGCTAGATGACCCCCAGAGGTCCCTTCCAACCGCTAACATTCTGTGTGATTCTGTGAATACTGGTTGCTTGGTACTGCCGGTGGATTGAGTTAAGACGAGGCAAAACTGTAGTTAACTGGTGTGAGGCAAGTGACTTTCCAGTATTTTTATCCATGTTATACTGTAGCATTTAAAAAAAAAATGTGGTAGAGTAATCTTCCTGTTGTCTGTCCAAATTTTTTTTTTATATATTTGCATGTCTGAAGACAGCTGAAGTTAGGTATGATAATGCTAAACTAATTGGGGCTTGGGGTTTCCTGCTGCTGCTGATTTTAGTGGGAAAAGAAGAGCTAAATAAAGAACAAAATATCATCTTGCGTGGTCAAGAATCTCGTATCAAAAAGGCTTGTTCTTTTTGTGCTGGAACATGTGTTGTCTTCTGCTGTACAGATTCAGGAAGGGGGGGATGTGGAAAAACTGAATTTTTTCAGTATATGTTGAAATTTCAGATGTTCTCAAAATTCTAATTAAATGCATCTCTTTAGGAGATGTTGCAGTTTGTGACTTGCTATTCCCTCCACTGCTACCTCAGGTAATTCACAATTAATCTGTCGCTGTGATTGCAAGAGGACAGATGAAGACTGCGGCTGCTATTTGGGGTATGCTGTACAGCAGCACTTCAGGACTGTTGAAAAAGCTCTGAGGTGCATTCGCAGTATTTTTTCCTTGATGTATACCTTTGGACAGTTTTAAGACTCATGTTACTGTAAACCAAATAGTTCAGGTAGCCACTGTCATAGCTGTTTTTTCAGTCATTTTCAGTATTTTGTTGGAGCAGAGTCAACAGAAATGGACATGTGCCTATTATTTAGTCACTCTGCCTGTAACATGGTAGCAGGAGCACGGTGAATAGCTAAAGGAAAACAGCATTTTAAAGTTTTAGAACAAGATGGCGTGGAGTTTTGAGTTGGAGCATTTAATTTTAGGGAAGAGCTATGTAATTAAGGTTATCTCTGGCCAGCGTGAGTGAGGACTTTTTTGTTATAACATAGGAGTATAAAGTGCAAGGGCAGTTAATTCTTGTATGACATAGACATGGAAATATTAACAAATAAATATGCAGACACCAGGTGAACTGGAAAAAAATACTTTTGATTTTGCACTTCTATGCAGAATCAGTAAAACTTGCTGCAAATTACAATTTCTAGTACAGAGGTACCCATAAGTTGCTTATTGCTGCTGGGAGTAGTGACTCCAGCCCACATGCCGTCACCTGAGGGTGCATTGCCCTTCGCGGGCACTATTCCCTGCTTGCAATAGAGAGCCTCTGCAGCTGCCGTCTGGGGAAGGCCAGCAGCGTTGTTGAGTGGTTGTGGAGGGGAAAAGACATTGACGAGTATAGGTGCACTTTCCTAAAGAAAACTTTTTAAAAATAACCAGTGAAGAGGTACAAAAGTATCTGTACTTTGATATCATAATGAAAACATAGGTGTTGTGGGTTTTTTAACAGATAAAAACTGTGACTTGAACAGCGATCTGGTCGTGTTGATAACGTGTATATAATATTCTCAGCTGTGTAAGTGTAGTAATGTAATGATGTCAAGAATCTCCACAAAGTAGAGCAATCTGTCTCATGCAGAAGGCATGGTATTGCATTTGTTTGTATTGCGGTGGCTTCTGAAACTCCGGAATGGAGCCTCAATTTCTGATGTGGTACGTACTCTACAAACACAGAACAAAAGCATTGTTCCAAAATTTTTGTTGCATATAGTTTTAAGGTATTTTTTTTGAGTATCCTAAAAAGAGCTTTTTTAATGATCATAACTTTCACTTTGCCTAATATTCACACTGATGATGGTATAAATTTTCTTTGCAGTTTACGTGTGAACTTGGACATGGGTAAGGCAGCCTATGGGTGGATGATTATGAAAGATGACAATATTCCTGGAACAGTTGTTCGAACTAGCACCATACCAGAAGAGTTGGGACGATTAGTTTATTTACTAACGGATAAAACAGGTATATAAGGTTACAATTCTAAAATATGATGACTTCTATAAAAATTCTAAGCTTTATTTGATGTTTGAAAATGTTAACATATGAGCAGATTTAGGCTGCTGATTTGTATATTTCAGTAAAATATGAAGCATGTGCTTCAGGACTTTATGCCAGTACCAGTAGGCTTAGGCAGGCTGACGCTTATGTGTGAAAGTCGGTATTTTGTAGCAATCCGGTTTATTCCAGTAGGAATGCTCCTGCTATAGTAACGGGACACTGGATAGCATTAGGAAGAGTACCATCTCTCTGCTCTGAAAAGACTCTGGATTCACAGTCGGGATGCTGTTTTATACCACACCTCATTTCTGCTGCTATACTGTATGATATTAGCAGTTACCCTGCACACTTCTGAATGCTGTTCTTCTGTTTCGTAAAAGATAAAGACAGCTGCCACTTTCTTCCTTAGCATGTAGAAAAGTGTATTGCTAATTATAGTGTGGTAATTCTTCAAAGCAAGCAAACAATTCTTCTTTGAACAAGTTTTGTTTCAGTTAGCTAATGATTTGTATGCTATTTGAAACTGCTTATTGATTTTAATTGCACCCTTCATCATGATAATTTATGTAACTTAGAGTGCTGTCTCATCGAGGGCTTGAAATATGTAATTTACAGCATATGTTTGGAAAAAGGGAAGTGTGTTCAAAAATAATGAATTTTCAAAACAGTGCAGTAGAGTTCATTTGCCCAAAGCACTACTTCTTAAGCAAACCCAATGCTCTTCAACTTTTCTGATAGAGAATCCAGTTACTATACCAAACTGGAAATGCGGTTGAAGTGTTGAGTTATTCTGCTTGCAGTTGGACCGCACTGAAGATTTGAAGAGGCTTGCTAAACAAAATGCGAACAGTCCATTCACCCAACTCTACTCTGGTGACCAGCTTATATTCTGAGGCACAGGGATCAGTGTACTGCCTTCCTTTACTCAAGCTGTATATACCTACCACCCTGTCTGAGAAAGAGAAGATTTTTTAAAACAGAAAAAAGAATAAAAGGCTGCTGCAGTTCTACTTCTATATAGACGACCAATACACTTAGCCTAGTACAACAGTAATTAGAACCAAAATTTTTCTGAAAAAAAAAATTTTTCAACATAAAATTTAGTGATACTAGATTTATCAAAGCAGAAATACTGTTTTATGTCTGTAAAGCTTTGAAAGGATACATTTTATTGGCCTGCATTTACGAGGAGAAACAACCCTGTTTTGCTTCCAATAGGGGTTTTTTTTAAGATTTTTTTCAGCCCACATCATGCCATTTGCCATCACGGTAGTTCTTTTAAATTTTAAGAAGAAGCACTTGTATTCTGTCCTTTCAGAGCGCATACTTAAAAGGGGCTGAACAGACAGATACTAAAAGGCTTTTACCAGCAAATGTGTTTATGTATAGTTTGGAAGATTGCTTGCATTCAGCCTCAAAGGCTTTTCAGAGCGCTGAAGTCTGCTGAGTTCTGGAGGAAGGTCTGAATCTGTAAATTAATGATGTAAAAATGAAAATAAAAGCAGTATTCTAGGGCAGTAGACCCAAAATGTTTTGGACTTAGCAGTCAGCAGTCTCACCCTATGTGCTTTTATCCAAGTGTTAGCTGAAAGCTGATGTAAGTGCCAACAAGCCTGGAGTCCAGCAGACATCACCAGCTTCAGAACACTGACCATGGCCTTGCAGATCACGCTCTTCTTCAGATCGTGATGGAAAACACTACACAATTTTATTAGTCTTAGAAGCCCTGCAAATTTTAGTCTATTTTTAATTCTAGACAAACACGTAGCCAATGTACCTTTTACCCGAGTGTATCAGTAGCTGCTTCCAGTTTCCTTTTCTGGTCTCATTCTGCATTTTATCATAAATGTGAAACGTGCTGTTAGGTGATGAACAGAATCGATACAGTTAAGCCCTGATCGCCATTGCGTGATTGTACACTCTGCGTGAGAGCTGGCTTCAGTACGTTATTGCTTGAATTTTCAGTTCTGGTCATGTAAACCAGTTGGTTCTGTTCCTCTGCCCCCTTAGGGCTTTGCTGTCGGAGGAGAAAGAAGAGAGCCAGTTTTGTAGCTGTGGGGCTGAATGGGTGCTCCTAAAACACAGGACTAAAAGGCTGGTCTAGTGAAATGTGGACAGGTGAAGTTTTTTGCAATATTGGAAATGAAAGGGAATCCAGGGAACAGTCTGCAAAAATCTTACGTTGTGGTCCAAGCTTCACTGGAAATGATGGAGAATTAGTTGTTGAGTCTAAGGAGCATAGCATTACTAACATAATTGCAAGGTAGTCCTTTGTATGATTGTAAATTGGGTTTGTGCTTCATCAATAAGCTTTTTGACAAGAAGCGTCCATCACAGTGGCTCTCTCATTTGCCACAGCAGAATAGAAAATGAAGTATCCCAATAATTGCATTATGGTTTCCTTATTGTGGGACAAGAAAGCAATGTGGTATAATTAGGTTTGATTGGAGTGCATGTTTCCGGTAAGATCTGAAATTAATGATGTTGCTATAGTGACACATCTGTGGCCACCAGTGCGTGAAACATAAAGTAATTCATTCGACAAGAGAAGACATCTGTTAACTGCAAGGATGCAAAGCATATTGACACTGACCAGAAATACTAGACGTTATGTGATAAATGAACAAATGATGCTGAAACAGGAGGACAGATAATTTGTACTTAATCTGCTGGGAGAACTTTAATCTTCTCACTGGTTGCATTTGACAATGCCATTGTTTAAAGAACAATGCTGCAGAGAACTCATAAATTTTAAAACTTAACTCAGGGTGCAGCCTATTAAAGCAATACATTAATTCCTTTGTTAGGGAGTTTTTATCTTCATGTAGAACAAAGCCATTACTAAAAACACCCACTAAAACAACAGGTTTTTTAGGACTCACATTTTAATTATAGCATCCATTACCCAAAATGCCATGTTGTTTGGACTTGAATCACATAGAAGTTTGACAGAAAGGCGTCATCCATTATGGTGGGGGGGGCACAGTTGCAGGGAGGGAGCGGCTTCCAGCATTTTCCAAGGGCAGCTGAGCATGGGATCTCATGCTCTCCAGGGTACAAAAAGATTGTAATCATGAAAGAAAAATAAATATATTTGGCAACATTTATTGAACATTTTTCTTGCTTAGGATGTGAGATGGCAAACCTGCCATTCACAACAACTACCAGAGTATTCAGCTAAAACAAATGCATGCAGTATTCCAAGCGTAGTTATTTACTAATGCATACACTCCTATTTGAGTTCTGTAATTAACATTTTAGCGAGTGTTCGGACCAAATGAGATGTTTAACAGATAGAATAGTTGAACAGATGCATAGAGCAATGGGATTCTTGATTTTCTGGGAAAGCCTTGTGTTAGAGGTTGGTGGCGATGGGTTTTTTCATTAAACGTGCCTAATGTAATGTGCTATTAGAATAGTGAATTTCAGTAATTGTTTCTGAAAATTAATCTTTTAAGGTATACTTTAATTGAGTCTTTATCTGTTCAACGTCAGCTACCACAGAGAAGGAGTAATTAAAAAAAATGCTGATGGAATAACATCTCCTCACTTCACTTTGATGGACAGATATTCATGCTATTGCCCTTATACTTTCTCTGCCTCTATGATTTTTAGTACCACTGAGGTTGCAGGGTGAGTAGAGCAGACTAGGAGTGGAAAGTTTGGATGATCCTACAGGAAGCTTCCAGACATGCACTCAAAAAGTAGAGCAGTCGAAGGAATCCTTACTTTGTGGCTTCTGTTGGACTCCCATCGGCTAAAATACAAGGTGTATCCAATGAGTATGGATGTTGCTCTTAGATACTGCTGTCATTCTCGTGGGAGGCAGAAGGCACAGAAGAAATAGCTACTGCTATTCATAACTGTTAACTGTTACCTCTACGGTTACCTTCTGCCCAGGAAAGAATAAACATGTCTCAGCTCTCTTTTATATTTGCCCTCATTCTTAACGGGCTGCACTGGGGTTTGTCTGGTTTGAGGTTTTGTGGTGGTTGTGTTTATGGCCCATTCATAAGTGGAGCAACTGAGGGAGCAGACGTATTCTGTACATGTGTTTACTATGAGTTTTTTCATTGCTTTTTACATTTGATACCAGGTTAATTTTTTTCCCCAAGGTTCACAGAAAGATTTTGCATCTCCAGATTCATAGAATCATAGGTTGGAAAAGACCTCTAAGATCATCAAGTCCAACCATCCGCCCAACACCACCATGCCTTCTAAACCAAATCCTGGAGTGCCACATCTACACGTTTTTTAAACACCCCCAGGGATGGGGACTCCACCACCTCCCTGGGCAGCCTGTTCCAATGCCTGACCACTCTTTCAGTAAAGAAGTTTTTCCTAATACCTAATCTAAATCTCCACTGACGCAACTTGAGGCCATTGCCTCTCGTCCTGTTGCTGGTTGCTTGGGAGAAGAGACCAACACCCACCTCACTACACCCTCTTTTCAGGTAGTTGTAGAGAGCAATAAGGTCCCCCTTCAGCCTCCTATTCTCCACAATAAACAGCCCCAGTTCCTTCAGTTACTCCTCATCAGACTTCTCCAGACCCTTCACTAGCTTTTTTTCCCTTCTCTGGACACGCTCCAGTCTCTCAATATCCTCCTTGTAGTAAGGGGCCCAAAACTGAACACAGTGTTTGAGGTGTGGCCTCACCAGGGCCGAGTACAGGGGCACGATCACCTCCCTGCTTCTGCTGGCCACACTATTCCTGACACAAGCCAGGATGCTGTTGGCCTGCT